CCCTATTTTATCTACCATCTATGCTACTTATTTTCTGTAACTTCTCCCCCCTTCTCCTACTCCCCTGTTGCTAACCCTCCATGTGATCTTCATTTCTATGGTTCTGCTCCTGATCTAGCTGTCTGCTTAGTTTGCTTTTGTTTTAGGTGTGGTTCTTAATAACTGTGAGTTTGCTGTCCTTTCACTGTTAATCTTTTTAATCTTCTTTTTCTTAGGTAAGTTCCTTTAACATTTCATATAATAAGAGCTTGGTGATAATGAACTCCTTGAATTTGATCTTATCTGTGAAGCCCTTTATCTGTCCTTCCATTCTAAATGAAAGCTTTGCTGGATAGAGCAATCTTGGATGTAGGTCTTTGGATTTCATGACTTGGAATACTTTTTTCCAGCCCCTTCTTGCCTGTAAGGTCTCTTTTGAGAAATCAGCTGACAGTCTGATGGGCACTCCTTTGTAGGTGACTGTCCCCTTATCTCTTGCTGCTTCTAGGATTCTCTCCTTCATCTTCATCTTGGCTAATGTAATGATGATGTGCCTTGGTGTGTTCCTTCTTGGGTCCAACTTCTTTGGGACTCTGAGCTTCCTGGATTTCCTGGAAGTCTATTGCCTTTGCCAGTTTGGGAAAGTTCTCTTTTATTATTTGTTCAAATAAGTTTTCCACTGGTGGCTGTTCCTCTTCCTCTTCTGGCACCCCTATAATTTGGATGTTGGAACATTTAAAGATGTCCTGGAGGTTCCTAAGCCTCTCCTCATTTTTTTGAATTCTTGTTTCTTTTTTTTTTTTAAGATTTTATTTATCTTTAGAGGGGAAGGGAAGGAGAGAGGGAGAGAAACATCAATGTATGGTTGCCTTTCGTGCATCCCCTGCTGGGAACTGGCCTGCAACCCAGGCATGTGCCCTGACTGGGAATTGAACCTCGATTGTCTGGTTCGCAGGCCCGCACTCAGTCCACTGAGCTACACCAGCCAGGGCTGAATTCTTGTTCTTCATTCTTTTCTGTTTGGTCATTTTTTCTTCCTTCTGGTCCACTCCCTTGATTTGAGTCCCAGTTTCCTTTCCATCTCTATTGGTTTCCTGTGCATTTCCCTTCATTTCAATTAGTTTAGCCTTCATTTGTTCCTCTAATTTGTGACTAAAATCAACCAGTTCTGTGAGCATCCTGATCATCAGTGTTTTGAACTGAGCATCTGAAAGTCTGCTTGAGCCATGTTTTGATCTGTTTGAGCCTGTTACATATGAGGAGCAGAGCCCTAGGTGTTTACCAGGGCAGGGCCACCCAGGTCGCTGGGTTGTGACGCTGTATGTGGGGGTGGGGTCAGAAAGGGAGCAATGGCGGTCCCCTCTGTACCTTCCATCTACTGGGGCCTGCACGGTCTGTCTCACTGCTTGCTCCTTCTCTGGTTTATCTTCTCGGGAATGTGTGACTATGGTCAGCCTGTCACCTCGCGCCTTCACTGGGTCTGCCTTCACTGGGTCTGCCGTTGCAACCCCACACCTGGGATCCGCCCTCGGCTGCCTGCGCACCTGGGTCTGGGATCTTTCCTGCCTGACCTCTCTGCTGCTGGCTCCGCCCCTCTTAACCGGTCTGGCTGAGTGGTTCGTTGTTGTCGGACTTTCACCTAGTTCAGTTTTCTGTGGTTTGGCTGAGTTTTTTGTTGCTAAAACTTTGTTTTTAAACTTGGTTGTGCAAGAAGACACAGTGTTTCCACCTACGCCTCCATCTTGGCAGAAGTGTCTATTTATATTTTTATTGGTGAAAAGGCTTAATGTATTTCCCAATTCTTTCCCATTACTCTGTAAAAGCAATTTTGGAAGACTCTCTACTTCACACTGAAGTTGCCTGTCTCCTTAACGCAGCGCTCACCCAGGGTGTGTAACGTGAGCGGCTGGTTGGGTGCAGATGACTGTGATGCAGAGCAGTGTGGCGGACATGCCTAGGGTGCTTCAGAAGCCACTGTAAATGCTCAACTTGGAGCAGAAAACGGCAGCGTGCTGCTGTGATTTATAGACGTCCCTGAAGACAGGTCAGGGAAGTCAGAAATCGTGGGGTGGCCCACTTTGCAGAGCTGCTCCTCACGCCCCAGGGGAGCTTCCTGAAATACCAGAAACCGGGACACTGGCACAGTCCCCGACTGGACAGCGTGTGTCAGATGGGGCAGGGGTCGGGGAAGTGCGGGCGCCCTGCAGGCGAAGCCAGGCAGAGCCTGTGGTGCTTGGGGAGACGGACTCCCGGTTATGCGGGTGCTGGCCGTTTCGCAGGCCCCTTGGCGTGTCTTCCTGGTACCCGTGCATTTCGGTAGCCGTGTAAAGGCCAAGTTCAGCCTAACCAAGCCATCATGTTCAGCGTGTCCCGTCTCAGAGCGCTGAAGACAGCTCCTCTCATGGGTCAGGACTCTCTCAGCGCCGGAGTCCTCGGGTCCTGTCCCGTTGTGAGCTGTCACAGGTCTCGCATTTCCCAGGGACCGGCAGGCTGCCCGTCCCCAGGCAGGCTGCGTGGGAGGCCACAGCCTGCCCGGGTGAAGTCCGTCCACTTTTCTGACAGGCGGGAAGGCCTGGGGGTTCGAGTCCAGTGGGACAAGCGGAGCCGGCCGGCCTTCATAGACAGGTGGAACCCCTGGTCCACCAGCGTGCCCTACACCACGTTCGTCGAGCACCCGATGGCCGGCGCTGACGAGAAGACGGCCTCTCTGTGCCAAGTAAGACAGCTGGCGACAGCAGCGCCACCCCACCGTGACAGAGCTGTCCCGGGCCTGTGCTGCCCAGCACGGTAGTGGCGTGTGGCTGCTGAGCACTTGAGAGTGGCTCGGAAAACAGGAAATGAGCTCTTAGTGTTTAATAACTTGTTTACTAAAATACCCCCATGTGGCTAGTGGTTCCTGGTCAGTGTAGCTTTGTAATGTGGCCCTGTGGCCATCACTGTCTTCGAAGGTGGCCCAGGGCTCTGGGGCCGGGCAGGTGAGCCTGGCCAGTGGCACAGCTGCAATGTGCATGCTCACCAGGAGAGGGCGCCTGGGCCAGTGGGGAGAGCAGTCTGGGCCTGGGGCAGGTCCCCTGCCAGGTCCCGTGCCAGGCCAGCCCGCTGAGAGCCAGCCATGCGCCTGGCCTGCTTCCCGGCTTGGCGGTGGTAAGGGTCAGGTGGCTCACTGTGGTGAGACCACCCAGATCTCTGGAGAGCGGGGCTCCCAGAGCCAGCTGTCATCCAGCACTGGAGCACGGGTGCGACCTGATGCTTCCGGAGGGCCCCACTGAGGAGGGGCGCCGAGGACCCCTGGGACGCGGTGGAAAGCACCCTCATCCAGGGGCAGGACAGGAGGGCCCTGGGTGGGGGGGGAAGGGGTTTCCTTCCCTGGGTCCCTCTGACGAGCTGTGTTCTCTTTCAAGTTGGAAAGCTTCAGGTCTCTGCTGATCCAGGCTGTCAAGAAAGCCCAGAAAGAGAATCCCGTGCCGGGACAAGCCAACAGCGTGCTGGTCTTGGAGCAGCCCCTCCTCATCGAGACCTACGTGGGGCTGATGTCCTTCATCAACAACGAGGCCAAACTGGGCTATTCCATGACCAGAGGCAAGATAGGGTTCTAGAGGCCGTGCTGGGGGCGCCTCCCCGAGGGGCCAGCTCCTCCCCGTGCTCGGGCAGGGCCATTTCCGTGTAGGGGTCCGAGCGCAGTGAGGACACAGCCAAATGACCATGCACTAAGGTGGCCGGGGACATCTGCTCCCGAGCTACAGGCAGACGCAGAACGCACCGGCTGTCACTGGTGGTGGTTCTTCCTCCGCTCTCCCCGCCCTCGAGCATGTCAATAAACCTGGTGTGCTTGCTCTTGAGTGTTTGCTCTCCAGTGTCCCTGCTGGCCCTGAGCCTGTCCCCTCACCCGTCCCCTAGGAGGAGCCCCACCCCAGGGCCCACAGTCACAGACGGGCTCACCCTTGGGGCCCAGGGGTGTGTTTGGGAACCCGATCCCTCTGTCAATACAAAGGAAGCCAGCAGCCCAGTGAGGTCGGCAGCCTTTTCGGCTCCTGAATGGATGGCCGCCCTGGTGGAGGCGAGTGTCGATCTGAAGCCAAGCTGTTTCTGAAATTAGTCTGTATTGACCTGGCATCCTTCCCGGGCCCAGGAGGTTTGGAGAAAAACGTTTTAAGGCCACTCACTGATTGGGGAGTCACCTTAGCAGTGCTCCGCCCATGTCTGAGGAATTGACGTGTCTCTGAACCGTGTCCGTGTTTGAAAAGGGGCTGCCTGGTCTGCGCATAAAGAGCGCACGTCTTTGGCCGAAGGAGACGAGTGGCTTCCCACAGAGCAGCTCTTGCCGTAACCACGCCTGGGCCTGGTGCCCAGGGAGCGTGTCCCCGGGGGACGGCTGCCCCTGCACTGGCCACTGCCGGCCACGTTGGACAGTTTCTCCACCAGCTCCGAGGGCTGGCGCTCTGTCCCCTCTCCCTAGCCCGGCATGGCTGTGGCCTGTGCGGGACCGGGTGCCTGGTCCTGAGCCGATGCTTGGAGCTCGTCGTAGGCGTTCAGAGGTGACTGGCCAGGGTCCCTTTGTGAGGTGGTTACTGAAATAGGTGGGACAACCGGGAAAGCCACCTCTTACAGGGGTGTTTTGAAGCTGGAGCTGTTTGTGTCCTCCCTCTCTTTGGGGGTCTGTCACCTGCCGTCCAGCGCAGTGACCAGGGCCCGGAGGAGCTCCTCGCCTGGCTGGCTTCGTGACACCCCAGTGACACGCCCTCTTGCTCTCGCAGGACAAGGAGTCCTGGGTTGGAACCCCATCCACTGTCTGTTCCTCGCCCCGGTGGCCTGTCAGGAGGGCCCCAGAGCCGAGGCCGGGGTGGGGACTGACCTGATGGGGCCCCTCTTCAGAGCCTGCTCCCCAGTGCAGATGGCACCGTCCGGAGACCAGCAGTGACAGAGCGGGGGCGTGGAGCAAGGATGGGGTGTCTGTTTTGTAGGTACTGGCTGCTGGGGGCTCAGTTCTAAAATTTGGCTGTGACCCAAACCTTTCAAGAAAATCAGCTTCAGCCTTTTAATGAACTAGCAAATATTTAAATAACAAAAATGAGTTTCACACCATACGTATTTACAAGAATGCCTCACTATGGAAAAATAAAAGCGAGCCCCCTCACTGGACCACGGCGTCTGGAGCACGGCCCGAGGAGCTGGCCTCTTTCTCACGGCGGCCCGCCCCCGCCCGCCCCCCGCCCCCCACCGCCATGGCACTCCTGCGCAGCCCTACGTGAGGCTGCCCGGCCGCCCGAGGGCGGGGCCGTCCCCATCCTCCGTCTCCAGGAAACACAGGCAGAAGTGGTCCTTGCTGAGGAGGGCCAGCGAGTCCCCGTTGGAATGCCAACAGAGGGACAGCACCTGGAAGTCACCTGGAGGAAAGCAGGAGGCTGGGGCCCCAGAGCCAGCAGAGCCCCAGATCCCAATGGTGCAGGCAGGACCCAGCTGGGGCCCCAGACCACCTCCAGCTGGTGGGCCTCCACCCTGCAGAGCTCAGAGCCCCGGGGGCGTGCTCACCTTCCCCGGGCACTTGCACGGACACGCAGCCCGCTGGCGACCACAGGTACATCTTGCTGCCTCCCGTGCAGATGGCCAGACGAGGCTGCTGCGGGTCCCACTGGAAGGCGCGCACGGGGCCCAGCTGCTCGAGCACCACGAACAGCCGCAGCTTCCGCACGTCCCAGATCCACACAGCGTTGGGGACGTTGTCTGGGGGAGACGCGGATGGGTGCGCGATCTGTCACCCCGTGTGGCCTCTCGGCCCCACCCGGGTTGGGACACGGGCGCCAGAGTGAGCCTAGTCAGACACCCCGGAGTGCGGGCCACGGCACTCACCGTTCCTCGTGGCCAGGAAGCAGCTGTCGGGACTGAAGGCCAGCGCGCTGATGCCGATCTTCGGGTTTGCTCTGTCAGCAGCGGGCTTCAGGGTCTGCAGGGACACCGGCACCTCGGCGATCTCGTCTACGGCGTGAACAGGGGCCCCCAACGCGGCTGCGTCTCAGCACAGCACGGGTGCACCCAAGACCCGGCACTGCCCTTGGCCCTTTCCCTCGGTTCAGACGGAGGGACATGCAACTGGGCCTTGAAAACCAGAGGGTGACCATCCCACACCCAGGGCTGACAGGAGGTTGGTCACGGTGCTGGGGGCCCTGCCTGGGGCGACCCCACCCCCCACCCTCACAGCTCCGGCCGGGAGCCCTGCCCAGCACGGAATCGGCAGCTCCGGTGCCCTGGTGCCTCCTGTCTCCTCCCGCTCCCAGTGCCCTGGGTCAGACCCGATGGGTGCAGGACGAGCGTGCAGCCCTCGGGACTCCTGGGGCAGCGGACATGCCCTGTGCTGCCCGTGACCGCGTCGGGGCTTCCACTCCAATCCCGTGTCCCAGGTGAGAGCCACGCACAAGGGACCGGCCCGGGCCACACGGCTCAAACCTGAGGGAGCTTCACTATTACAGTGAGGCCCTCGGAGTGCTGCCTGTCAGATTTGGGTCTCCAGAGCTGCTGTTCCGTCAGCAAAAGCCACAACCGGTGCTGACAGACTCGAGGAGGGTGGGCGGGCGCTGTGACTCGCCAGGGGTGGAGAAAGGGGCACCTGAAACCCACAGGGACCGAGCGGCCCCTGTTCACAACAGGCAAAGGGCTCACATCTGCTCTCCGTGGGCCTGGGTGCAGGGCAGGCAGGGTGGCCCAGCGAGCCCCGAGGGCTCTTCTCCGCTTCCTTATACACCACCTGGAAGACAGGGATGCGTGGGCACAGTGGTGACGTTCGACCTGGACACGGGATGTGCCGCTGCAGGTCCAAGGGAGTCACGGGGACCCCACTCTCTGGGGCTCTTGGCGTGGGTGCCACCTGCGAGCCTGCTCCCTGACACCGGCAGCGATGGCCGGTGTGGCTGCGTGTTCCCTGGGCCAGTGAGCCAAGGCCAGCCTTTCCGTGGTGGCAGAGACAGGCTCAGGGGACACAGAGCCTGGGAGCTAAAGCCCAGCAGGGAAGGGGCCACAGTCCAGGAGCGAAGTCCTCCGAGGCCCACGGGCAGCGCTGCCGCCTGGTGCAAGGCTCCCCGGAGGCCGGCCCGGCCCTGCCCCTCCCGACTTCGCTGCCCTACCTGCCCCCCCCCCCCGCCCCAGGCCTCCCACTGTGCCCGCCAGCTCCCTGCCTCCTCGCCACACCTGCCCTGTCTCTCACTCAGCTTGCACCGCGGGAAAACTTCCCAAGGCCAGGGCTCTGTCTGTGTCCCCTGCTGTCCCCTGGCCCCTGGGGAAGGCGCATGCCCACACCGCAGGACCCTTGCACTTACCATTCCCGCTGCCTGGAGCACTGCCCCCAGATGCCACACGGCTCCTGTGGGCTGACCCCCAGCTCTCCCAGCCCTCGCCCCCCACTTCACTGGGCAGGGGTCTGCTCTCCACGTGACCCAGCACACAGCGCCTGGCCCGGCCGTGGCAGCTCGGTGCTGGCCAGCAGGAGGCCCAAGGGTGTGCAGGACAGACCTGCAGTGAGCCATCAGGAAGGGCGGCGGGGACGGGACAGGGGCCCCGGCAGTATATGTCAGGGGACACAGCCCGTCACTTGTCCACAGTGAGCGGAGCCCCCAGGCCAGCCCAGACGACACCGCGAGGGGAAGCACTGCCTCCCTCCCCCCAGACGCAGGCAGGGGACTTACCACTCTGGCGTCGCCGACGGAGGCCGGGTGCCCGAGCTCCGCGAGCACCTTCCAGGTCACGTGATTGAGGATGCGCACCTGGGGGGGGGTGCGGTGAGACCACTGCAGGGACAGCACCCACAGCCGTCCCCGGGGCTCGCCGCGGGCGAGTGGGTGCCCTGGCCCACCTTCCCGTCGTAGCTGCCGACAGCCAGGAACTGGCTGCTGGGGCTCCAGGCCACCGCCTTGACGCCCAGGGACCACTCGTACGCGCAGTATGCCGCCAGCAGCCGGCCGTCCAGCGAGTAGAGCAGGACCTTGTACTGCGGGCGGGACGTGGCCGTCGTCAGCCGAGGTCCCACGGAGCTGGAATAGGGCAAAGTGGGACGCAGGAACAGGCGGGGCACAGGGGGACGGTCACTGGAACTGAGATCTCACTAGGTGAGCCGAGTGGTGAGACTCAGGGACAAGCGGCATTGGGGTTGCCCCCCGGCGCCACCGCCTTCGGGAAGCACCAGGGGGACACAGGCAGAGCCTCTCCTACCTCCAAACAGGTGTCCCACGCCGCCAGCACACAGCCGTTGGGGGCCCACTCGATGCCGGCGAGGTCCTGGGTACCCGTGTCGAAGTGCTGACCGAGCGGGGGACGCAGCTCGTCAGAAAGGGCCGACCCAGCCAGACCCAGGCCTGCGCGTGGCTGATGCCCTGCACACTCCAGGGAGAAGCGGACGCTTCACACAGAAGTGGACGAGCACAGGGGTCTGTCCCTCCTGGCTGCTGCTTGCCGGAGTGTCAGGGCTTCCAGGCAGCACCTGGCATGGCCGGCCCCGCGGACGCTGCGTGCGGCTCCTGCCCATGCACCCTTCTCCCCGGCTCGTGCCTGGCGAAGCCCCCCTGCTGTGACCGCATTCCAGAGGCCTCTCTGCCCCCGCCCGGCCGTGCCCGCCCCCGCATCCATGTGCTCCGGGCCCAGCCCTGGCCCCAGGAGGAGCTGTGCCAACACAGGCGCTCAGGGTCAAAGCCAAGTCTGCCACTCTTCCTGTCAGAGTGACATGGGTGCACACTGGGGGGGGGGGGTGCTGGCTCTGGACGCAGAGGCCGGGCACCCACCATCTCCACCCAATGCTTCACCACTGGGTGTTCCCAAAGCCCCAGGCCGCCCTGGGAGCCATGAAGTCGGTCATGTGTCCGCACGTGACCCGGAAGGGCCCTGAGAGCTCGGGGAACAGGTACCACCACTCCCTGGCCACCGGGCAGGGCGACCGTCCCCAGCGGGAGGGGCGCTCACCCGCAGCAGCTGCCAGTCGCTGCAGACGAAGATGCTGACGTAGTCCTTGCAGTCCCGCCTCTCGGCCAAGGCCAGGTAGCGGCCGTCCCGGGAAAAGGTGATTCCTGCCGGGAAGAGGAGAGGGCCTGGTACCGAGGAGCCGAACAGGAGGCCGGCCAGGGGCAGTTCTGCACATCAATGCAGGAGCGAGGACAGTGGTGACACCCGCCGAGCACCTGAGAGCACCGGGCAGTTGCCTGCCCCCACCACCCAGGCTGTCGCTGCAGACGCAGCACTGTTAGGATCGGCCGCGTCCAGGAAGTGGGCACATTGCGGGGTGGCCGGTGGCAGCCGCCCGCTGGCGCTCGTTCCCTCTGCACTCCCGTCGCTGGGAAGGAGAGGTTCACGGTGAGCGAGGGGTCACTGGGCTGTGCGTTCCGGTCTGCACGTGCCTGCCGGTCCCCCCGCACACGTGCATGGCACAGCTGAGTCACGGAAGGGCCACCTCCACGTAGGAATCACACGCGCCTCCCAGGGGCACACCCCCCAAAGTGCAGAAGTGACGGACACGTGGCAACCACGTGCCGCTGTCACGCCAGCATAGAGGGATGTGCTCGTGATGGCAGGCCTTTGGCGTCCACCCTTTGGACGCGCCCACTTCGGCTGCGGGGACTCGTGTCACGGGGCCCTGCCTCCTGAGATGCCGGGGCGTGCGTGCGGACGAAACCCCTGGGTCTGGAGAGCGCTGCACAGTGGCCCAGGGCTCGGGGGTGAGGAGGGCACGTCCGGCTGGGGGCCTGCTCGGCGGCTTCCCAGGATGCGAAGGCCGGCGGACCCAAAGCCACTGCAAAGGACGGGCTTCGCGTGTCCCCTGGACTCACCCTGCTGACAGGCCTTGGGGTACTTGATGTACGAGACGGACTTTGTGCACAGGGACCAGACCGTCATCCGCAGCTGTCGGGCCAAGGGGCGAGAGCGGGGAAGGAAACGGCAGCGCGTCAGGTTTTCAGAGAGACCGTCCCCAGCTGTGACCCGAGCTGGTGGCCCGGGGAGGCTGGGGCTCTCCTCGCAGGGGCCCAGGACCGCCCCCCACGCCGCTGCAGCCACCTCAGCGCTGATTCCTTGAGCAACACGGTTCCTTGAGCAATACGAAATGAAAGGAATAAATACGTAAATGTAAGTGCACTTTAGTCCGCAGTTCAAAGGAATCATTTTCACGCTGTGATAAAGGCCAGCGGCTGCGGGCCAGAGAAACACCTTCAGGCAGAAAAGCAGACCGGAGGCTTGGCTGCTCCGGGGCTCCTGGGGGCTGGGAGTGAGGGTCCCGCCGACCGGAGGGTGCGTCCTGAAACCCCTGGGACACTGCCCCTGCGGCCACAGGCCCCCCTGCAGAGTGCGGTCCACCGTTCACTCCTCCTTCTGGTGGGCAGTCACAAAGGGGCAGAAACCCTGTCAGGGTCAAGACAGACACCTCTGTGCAGAACGCCCGCCTTGGCCTTGCAACCTGCACCCTTCGACTCAAAACAGTCGCAGCATTTGCGCCCAACACCCAGAAGCTCCGGTCCCGGCGAGGTCTGCTCAGAAGCCAGTCCTGCCTATGCCGCCAGGTCTCCCTTGGACCCGGGACTCGGGACTGACCACGTGGGTCTGGCACGGAAAGGCTGTTGGGGTGAGAACCGGAGGGGACACGGAGGCACTTTTCCGTGAACATCTGGGTCAGAACTGACTGTCCGCCACGCGACGTGTGTGAGAACGGAGGCCGGACGGCGTTGAGGTTGTCAGCCGCCCACCCACCTCCTTGCGGAGCCGGGGCACACAGTCACCCGTGACCGAGGCTGCCCCACTTCCGAATCTCGGGCCCTCCCCGTGCCCGCCCACCTGTGGCGGCCCCTGAGCCCCGCGCTGCAGCTGCCCCACCAGCTGCACAGAGGGAGGCCCCACAGCTGCTCTGGAGGAACTGCCAGGGTGGGGATGGTGGCTGAGACAGGCTGAAGGATACACAGGCTCCGCCTCGGGGGACGGAACGCGGGCGACGGAACGCAGGCCGCACAGCCCCCCTCGGCCAGACGGGTGTGGCTCTGCAGCACCGGCCGGATTCTCTACGATGCCAGGCAAGGGGCGCACACAACGCCTCCGTCCCCGTGCGGGCGGGGAGGGGAGGTGGCACTGACCCACCCTTCTCACAAAAGGAACTGAGTCCGGGGACTGTCACTGCCTCTGCGCAGCACAAGTGGCATTGGGGGAGAAGGTCTGGAATCACCACCAGCCGCTGCCACGGCCGTGTGGCCCCAAGGGCCGGGGCACCCCACTCACGTGGCCGGCCCTGCCCGTGAACGGGGCTCACCGCGGCTTCGGGGCGCAACTGAGAGGCGACGATCCCTCGACAGCCCTGACGCTCAGGGCTCACCTGGGACACCCACCCCGGTCTGCTGGCCCCGTCTCAGCGCTGGTCCCCACGGCCGGCCCACGGGGCAGGCCCAACGCCCAGGACGCCGGCTACCAAGACGGGGGCTCCACAGCGGGGCCCGGGTGGGGTGCGGTCGGAGCACGCGGGGCGGCAGACACACTGCTCTTGAGGCACCGAAGACACGTGGCACCAACAGCCTGGTTTCACCCGCCTGCCCCCCTCACAGATTTTTTTAAAGCTGTGACTGTCTGTAACTTGAACAAAGAGGCGGAAACTCCAGTAACTCCAGCAGCATGACACGGGCAGGGCGCGCTCCCATGAGGACAGGGACCAGGACAGGGACGAGGCGGGCTCACACGGCGGGCGTCAGGCATGGGCCCAGCGCTGTCAGTGCTGTCTCCCAGCCCCCGGTTAAAGGAGCAGCACCGCGCTAACGAGGCCACTCTGCCCGCGGAGCGTGAAGGGCACCCAGGGGCCCTGCCTGGGCCGGCAGCTCTTCTGAAGGCCAGCCTTTCAGGGGGACACCACCCACTCCCCCCTCTGCCGCCCTGCTCTCCTGAGCTAACTGTGAGGCCGTTCGCTTTTCAAGAAGTTCCATTTCTCCAGGACACTTTCAAGCCTGCCTGACAAACGACTGTACGTCTCTACCGCCTTATCATCCCTGCTGGCAGAGCGGAAGGCTCCTGGCACGTGAGCAGAACGACTTAAAATGACATCTTCAACGTACAGTGTTTGGAATATTAACAGAAATCCGGCAAACTGAGAGCAGCCCCAGGAAGTGTGTACTGTGACGCGTGAGTGGCCTCGTGGTCTGCTGAGGGGCGGGGACAGGACAGGATGGGACGCAGACTGAGGGGCCGCCACACCACCGCAGAGCAGAGCCGCGCAGGACGTTTTGTCGGGCGTGTGCGAGCCTCCACAGTGGACACGCTGCTCGGAGACATGCTGCAGGCGCCAGCAGGAAGACGCCCGCGTTCAGGGGCCCAGAGGCTCGATTTCGGCAGACAGCAACCGCAGCGGCAGGGGCCGGGAAGCGCGCACCGGTTTTGGGCACAGAGAGGGACAAGTGGACCACTGGGACGAGGCTGGGCCCAGACAGAGGCCCCGCAGCGGCCGCCACGGCCACACGTCGGTGCAGAGCGCGAGGAGGGCACGGTTCACAGCGGCTCACGCGTCTCAACACGGGAGCCAAACCACCAACTCACAGGAAGAAAACAAAATAACTGCGCCTCAGCGTGGCTGGGTTTCTTCTCTGTGCTTTTTAAACTTTTTATTTTGGGCCCAGAAGGAGGGAGGGAACAGTGACAGGAGAATCACCGACTGGCTGTCTTCTGTCCCTGCTCCGAATGGCGACAACCTGCATCCCAGGCCTGTGCCCCTACTGGGCGTCCGACTGGCAACCTTTAGGTCTGTGGGGCAACGCCCCACCCAGGCACCCTGGGGGGGCGGCTGGGGACACCCCGCCACGTGTTGGAATCTGGCCCGTGAACTCTGAGAACCAAGGCTGTTCCTGAGGCTACCCGCAAAGCTGCCACAGTCGTCTCCGAAAACCTGAGTCGAGGGCACCTTCCGCGTGTCCCGCCCCACCTCGCCTTGACCCCCACCGCCTGCGCCGGCGGACACGGGTTCCACGTGTCTGAGGACCCAGATGGTGTGAAGCCAGAGCTGCCTGAAGCCGTTCACACGCCAACCCCTCACAGCTGGACAGAGGACCTGTCGCGGGGTGCACCCTCAGGCCCCCCAGGAATCACTGCGCCCCTGCCACGTGTGTGCGCCCCTGGCGGAGCCCTTGGTCAGGCCGCCACGGGGCAGCCCGCAGCCCTGAGCTCCGACGGCACTGCGGGTTTCGGCCGGAACAACGGGGCCCGTGTTCCGCCTCAGAAAACACTGGGACGGGACTCATGTGGGTCTCTGCACTTGAAAACCCTGGGCACCAAGGTCCCTCCCAAAGGCCTTGCCTGTGCGGCAGACGCACACCAGCCCAGCCACGACACCTGGCAGACGTCACCAGATGTCAGTCGAGAGTCTCGGACTCCACGCTCCCGCCTAAGCCCGCGGACCAGTGAGCACAAGTGCGTGAAGGACAAGCCGATGACGGTCACCCACGCCCAGACCAGAAGGATGTGGATCAGCTCAAACCAAAGCACATTTGCAATCATTAAATTACAAGGGCTGTTTCGACCCTTAACACGTAACATGAGGCTTTTCAGAGATCTGTTCGCTGTCCTTCCAAATGGGACAGAAAGACTGTGACGCACGCAGGGGCTGACGGGGCCCCGACGACGCACAAGCAAACCCCGTCTACAGACCGTCTGCTTTCGGCCCCCGAATCGGGTTCGGGGTGCATGGAGTCGCCTTCCTGGATTAAGGGGGCACAGAGGGGTCACTTGCAGGAACTCAGTGCATCTCAGGGGTTGGAGGACAAGGCCCCCCCCCCCATGAGGGGCTGGGCCGGGGCATCGCTTACGTGGAACTCGGTGGTGTTGAGGATGTGGCGCCCGTCGGGGCTCCAGCAGGAGGCCACCAGCCCCGCGGAGCCCTCGTCGATCCTGCAGTGCCACTCCGGCTGCTCCAGGGACCACACCTGGACAGAGCAGACCCGCGGGGCGGCCCCGGTCAGGGCGGCTGCGAGCGGGGTGCCCAGCGTGGAGGGAAACAGACCTCTCCGTGGTCTCTCCACCACAGCTGGTGCCCCCGCCCCGCGCCAGGCCCCACACCGCTGGGGTCATTCTGTCTGGTTCCGAGGTGCCGCCCCTCTGCTGTCCCTCAAGCTCAGCCAGTCAGGCCCCGCCACGCACCGGCGCGTGGCGGGCCAGGTGTCTGCAAACACTCCCTGCGCTGAACCCCACCTGCCTACAGACTGAGAGCACCGAGCGATCTCTCACCTGGGAAGTGCTGCAGCCGCGAGAGCGCAGCCGCGATTTCAAAGGAAGCCCGAGGGGCTGCCCCTCTCTAAACCGGGGTGGAGGTCAATGCCGCCCCACCGGGCTCCCTCCCAGGATGCTGCCCGGCCCGCACCCAGCAGCCCACCTGTACCAGCCCCCGTTTGTACATGGCGCACAGGAGGAACAGGGAGTCGGCCGACCACTCGACGTGTTGGATCTGGTCCACGCAGGTGTACAGCTGAAGGATCTGGAGGCTGCTGGCATCCCGGACCACGAGGCGGTACTGCACGCAGGAGGCCTGGCGGGGAAGGAGCCGTGAGAAGGGGGCTGGCCCGCCCCACACCCCCGCCCAGTTCGGAACTCTGCCTCCTTCCTCTCTGACACGCTTTCTATCTGGACGCTCCCTGTTCACCGTCAAGTTTACAGCCCATTCTGAAAAATGAGTTAATAAAAAGATAAAGTTGAAACGTGCAACCTAGGTGTTGAAACTATTACAGTCCCGCATTAAGTACTGTTTGAAACTAAGTAACTTTCTGCTCCCGTCTCAACTGCACGTTACAACTACAACTGCACCCCAGAGGATGGAGCCTGGGCCTCGCCTGGCACGGGGCTCACAGACAGTGCGCAGGGAGCCGGCTCCAGGATGTGCAGCCACTGCTGTGGACAACTGCCGGGACGGCTGTTCTCTTTCATTTTTTAAAGATTTTATTTATCTATTTTTAGAGAGCGGGAAGGGGGGAAGAAAAGGAGAGAACATCAATGTGTGGTTGCCTCTAGAGCACACCCAACTAAGGACCTGGCCCAAAAACCCAGGCATGTGCCCTGACTGGGAACTGAACCAACGACCCTTTGGCTTGCAGGCCGGTGCTCAGTCCACTGAGCCACGCCAGCCAGAGCCAACAGTTCCTTTTCGTATAAAACCTACTCGTAACCAAACCCACTGGAGTAAAAATGTGTGTTTTACATTCTAAAAATGGGAGCGCTTCGTAAATGCTCATTCACCTCCTGGAACAGAGTAGAAAACAGGCACTCGTCCCTGCCTCCAGGCCCCGCCCCTGCAGTCCTGGTCCCTCGTAACTCCCTGGTGACAGGAGCACCTTTTGTTCTAATGAGGAGACTGGGGGCTCCTGGGTGAGGGCTGGTCCCCAGAAAGACCAAGCCCTTAGAAGCTGGGGACTTGCAGCCCTGCCCCCAACTCCCTTGCGAAAGAAGGAGGCTGAGAATGGATTTAATGACCACCACGCCGATGTGAAAAAACCTTCCACAAGAGCCACAGTGACACGGGTTCAGAGGGTGTCGGGCGGGTGAACACATCCGCACGGCGAGGGCCAGGCACCCTGACTACACTGGGGACCCCCCGACCTCACCCCATGTCTTCCTTCGGCAGGTTGCACATCTGTGTCCTTCATCATTTCCTTTAACAAAGCGGCAACATAAGCCCGCATGTCCCCGAGTTCCGGGAGCTGAGCAACTTAACCAAACCTGCAAAGGGGGTGTGGGAACCCCTGCTTGTAGCGAAGTCAGACAGCCTCTGGGGGTAACCTGGGCCCCTGCTGTTTGTGACTGGCATCTGAAGGGAGTGCTGTAGTGGGACCAGGCCCCAGGCCTGCGGGACCCAACGCTCTCTCCAGGAAGGGTGCCAGAATCAGGCGGAAGGGCAGGACAGCCAGCGGGTATGGCAGAGCTGCTTGGTGGAAAGGACCCCCACACTGGGTGCCCGGAGGAGCCGTGAGCGTGGGTGGTCGTGTGGCCGTGAGTAGCAGACGGGAGGTGTTCCATACACACGTTGACTGACTCCTGGTACGGACAATAAAGCTGCTTGTCCCCGAGAGGCGGTCTCCCCGGGCCCAGTCTGGGTCCCTGTCTGAGCCCACAGTTTCTGCCTGGACACGCGTGTCTGCTGGCTTGTCCGCTGGCTGTGGGTCCCAGTGGAGTGCGGGGCTGGGAGCCGCTTTCTGGATGTAACTCCTTCACGTCTGTGCTTCTCAGGGCCAGACGAGATGGCCGGTTTGTGTTTTATGAGCTCCCACTGAGAAGAGCCGCACAAGCCCTCCGTGGAAAACGGAGGGAGGGCAGCGGGGCCCTGAAGACTGGAACGGACGTGTGTCTGTCTTCACACTGTACCTTCTGATTCCGTGTCAGTTACAAGGAGTTCCCGGGAGATGGACTACTGGTACCAGAACTTGGAGAAAAGGCACCAAATCTGGGCACGATATTAAAAATGGCCGCAGGGCCCTGAAGAACAGGATTGCACAAACGTGACCACCAGGTATCTCACGATATTTTGACCACAGTGTAAAAATCAAAGAAATACCAAAATTAAGCAAGGAAATACCATTTTCCTCTTTATAATTCACTGTAATTTTCATAAATGATTTTTCAAAAATTTACAGGGGGCACTTTGAAAAATGGTCACTCCAAGGGTTTTGAAGTGACACTTTTAAAAATCCTCACATGAGGACAGGTGTATTGATTTTAGAGTAAGGGGTGGGGGGGAGAGAAACATGGATCAGTTGACTCCCATTCACACCCTGACTGGGGATCGAACCTGAAACCTCGGCATGTGCCCTGGCCAGAAATTGAACCCGCAGCCTTCTGGTGCACGGGACGATGCTCCGACCAACAGAGCCACTCAGCAAGACGTGCCATTTAAGCTAAAAACGTGTTGCCTGTTGTAGCTGAATGCTATTGTATGGGATGTTGAGTGATACTTCCACAAAGAAGGCAAACATGTAACTCAGGAGTTATATTTTCAAAGACCTAGACAAAAATAAAACGATTAGTAACAGCCCAAACTGAAAAGAACCAGAACTGTCAGTCAAGAGAGGTCTTACTGACTAAGAGAGGTCTTAGGTCTTAATGGCCTAAGAACACTGTTTAGCCCCGATGGGTGTGGCTCAGTGGCCTGAGTGCCAGGCTGTGATATGTAGGGTCGCCGGTTGGATTCCCAGTTGGAGCACAGGCCTGGGTTGCTGTCCAGCGTCCAGGACGCTGAGAGGGAACCACACATTGATGTTTCTCTCCTTTCCCACTTTAAAAATGAATAAATAAAATCTTTTTTTTATTATTAAAGAACACTTTTTGTAAAGCATGTTTTTTTTAAACAGGCTGGGCCATGGAAGTTAGCTGCGCCCCACCACCTGACACCCCCCAACCCCTCGGCCTCGGGGACAGGCACTGGCCTTAGCCCCAAGTTTTGCACATCACCAGTCCGCTGCACAGGGCAGCCCCGCGATGTCCCCACCGCTCTGCCACCCTGGAATGACCAGCTCAAGTCCCCGCAGCGCGGGCAACTCGCTCCGCCTGGCCAGGGAACGCTAGTTAGTTAGACCAGTTACTGGGCACGTGGTAGAACCGGCGTCGAGGCCTGGGAAAGGTGTCCAAGCCCAGCTGCCCCGCTGTCCCCGGTCGCAGACGACAGAACTGCGTCTTCGCCTTTTCGTGACAAAGTAACTACGACTACGAGCTGACGTCTGCGTCCTCGAAGGTGTCAGCGCAGCACTACTGTGCTCTGCCGTCGACAGATGGAAGCCCGGGCGCAGGGGGGCCGGCCCCCGCGCAGCTCCCCCGCCCCCGCGGACCCCCGAGCTGCCTGCACCCCGGGCCCCGCGGCCGCCGCCGCTCCCGGACTCGGGGTCCCCGCCAGCCCCCGCGGCCACTCACCAGGTACTTGCCGTCCGGGGAGAACTTGCACAGCTGGCTGGAGAGCTTGAACACCTCAGAGAAGTTCATGGCGACCGCCGCCTGCCGCGCCGGAGCCCGCGCTGGAGAGCCCCGGGGCTCAGCCGCAACCGCCAGCGCCGCGCCCGGAAGTGACGGACAGCTGGGACCAAGCTGTAACCTATCAGAGCCAGGGCCCCCGCGTGGCATTATGGGACTTGTAGTTCGTGCTGGAGGCCCACCCGGCTTCTTGCGACCCGGGATTTCCCTGGGGCGTCCCTCCAGCCAGGCTCGCAAGATAAAACGCAGGATGCGCGCTTATATTTGAGATACACAACGAATCCTGCTTGGTATAAATGTGTTCCCAAGTACTGCATGGGATATACTTACGCTAAAAAATTACCTGCTTATCTGAAATTTCAACTTTAACTGGGCGTCCTCTGCGCTGGATATTTATGGAAGTATTTATTACAGTTACCGTGAATGCGTTTACGCGTAAATGAACTGACATAAACCACGTATTTGTATGTAAATATGCAATACCGTATTGCCTGTGCATATGTTTTATACATGCGCGGTGTATATACATTCGGGTTTTTTTTTTTCTCTCTCTCTCTCTCTGTTTTGTTTTGGCTAAGTCGGGCTGCCCGCCGGCCGCGAGTCCCCGCCTGGCGCGCGGGTGCTGCGGAGATCCGCCGAGAACGAATTCGACGCTCGCTTGTCAGGAAGAGCGCGCGGACCGCGCTCACCGCCCCAGCCACGGCACTCGCGCCCCTGCGCTGGGACAGCGCCCGTCCTTCGCCGGACGCAGCGAACTCCCGCGTGGGCGCTGGGTTTGCCGAGTTTGCGGCCCACTCCTGTCCTCTCGTCCACTCGGGCGATTTACCCCCGGCCCCCACCGGAGCGCGTCCCCGGAGAGGCCCGGACAGAACCTCGGCAGCCTGCCAGATCGCGCGCACCGCGACTCCGCGCCCCGCCTTGCGGCCTGCGAACCGAGACTCGTCTGCGTCCTCCAGGCCTTCACGCGGCCAGCCTGCTCGCACCCCTCAGCTTTCCCGAACGAACGCGGGTAGGGGACGCTTGCAAGCGTTGTGCACCGCAGTGCCGACTTCCTCTATCCCCGACCTTATGAACATGTGTGTGGGATTCGTTTTTTGTGTCCCCACCCTCCGCGCCTCGCGAAGAGTAGGTGAACAATAAAGGTGTGTAGAAGCTAGCCAGGCGCACCAGGTGAGGTGCAGACCATGCGGCTAGAGAGCTCGCTTTGCGCCAGCCCGGCTTGCGCGCAGTTCCACCGTCGGCACTGCCGAGAGCGTCACTTTAGCCTGGGGGCATCGGTTCAGAGGCAGAAAACGAGCCGCAGGAGCACCAGAAGTCAGCGCACGGCAGGTGCCCGCTGCCAAGGGTTGCTGGAAACTCGCTCAACTTGTGGGGTTTGCCCTACGGGGTGCGTGGGGGGGGGCGGGAAGAGGGGTCTCGGCCGTGAAGCCGCAGGCGTGGCGGGCCTAGGGAAGCCTTGGCCTGAGGCGGTTTCTGCAGGCAGAGAGCAAGTCCCGGTGCCCGACCCACGTGTCGCGGTGGACTCAGCGGGCACCTGCGGAAACACGACAGAATCCCGCGCCCCCCGCCAGGAGGGAGTGCCCCGGGGAAGGAGTAAAGGGCAGGATGCGACGCGTGAGCATTGGCGTCGGAAGTCACTCTGTAGGTGCCATGGGGCACAACCCCCGCTCCGGAACAGCTCGGACTGAGGCCGAGAAAGTTGTGCCTGGAGGGTCCCGGCATCCGCAATGCCTCCCAGGGCGGAGGCTCCGCCACGCCCTCGGCTCCGTGAGCGGTGTGGGTGGCGCGCCCTCCGCGGCAGAGGAGACCCGCTGGAGCCACCCTGGCGAAAACGATTTTCACTCAACTCCCGGCTTTGGGGCCTGGACCTTCATCCCTGTATCCAGCAGGCCACAGCCAAGGGGGACACTGCGAATACCGGGGTGCTACTCCCCGGTCGTGGCGCGTCCCCTTGCCCGTGGATTCCAAGCGGTGCGAGTGCAGAGGAGCCCCGCACTGCCGGGGGCAGAGAGGAGAGATCTGGGTGTCGGGGAAGATGCGCCGTCTGGGGGAAAGAAGGGCGTCGTGACTCGGAGTCCGCATCTCCGCCCCCCTCCCCGGCTTTGCCCCCGCCTGCAAGCCGAGGAGGGTCCGGTCTCACCAGCTGGAGGACCCCGCGCCCGACCTTCATCCAGCCTGGTGTCCAGGGCCCTGCAGGGGTGACACGCGCCAAAAGGTGGCGGGAAGGCGGCGGGGAGGAGCGGGCCCCAGGACCCCTACTCGCTCTCGGCCAGCTGGGGGGGCGGAGCGCCGGTAGGCAATCTTGGCCCGGGCCAGGCCGCGCCGCCCCGCGCTCCTCCCGCTTGGTCGGCCGAGGAAGGCGCTAACGCCCGCGGCCGCCCCCTCCCCACGCGCCTCCCCTCCTCGCGTCCATATAACCCTCCTCGACGGGTCCGCCGCCTGCCCTACCTCCGCGCTTTGCGCCCCGCGCCTGGTGGGCCCACCGAGGAGTTACGCGGCGGCAAAGCCGGGGCCAGCACCGGGTCGACTTGGCTGTAGGTGCCCCGGGCTCCCACGGCACCAGGTAGGCAGTTCAGGACCTGGGGCGGGGGGGGGCACCAGGGGGGCCTGGTGCGCGTTGTTCGGCTCAGCCTGCGGGGGTCGAAACGGAGGACGGCAGGCGCTTCAGCGCGCGGCTCTGAACCTGGGAGTTGGTGGCTGAAGACTGAGCACGAACTAGGAGAGAGGGTGACATGGGGTGTTTTCCCACCGCCTCCTGGAACTTGGCTCTGGGGCAGGGAGACACAGTCAATCCTGGGAGTGGAGAGGGGGGTGGGGCCTCAGTGCGACGGCGGGGGCGGGGGTGGGGGTGGTCTCGGTGGTTCTTGGGGTCCGGAGCAGCCTCCCTGGGGTTGGGGAGGGCCTTCTTCATCACCCCAGCTTCTGAGGCAGAAGGGAGAGGCTCGGGAGGGCGGAGGGGGGGGCGGCAGGTGGAAGTTGGGACCCTGCGTCCCTGATAAGCTCCTCCCCGCAGCGGGTCCCCAGTCACTGCAAGCCAGCACCGCTGCTATCCGGATGTGGAGGCCTTCGCCCCACCGCCCCACCCCCAACGCTGGGGGGGCCCAGGTGTTGCGGTCCTGGAGAGCTGGGCATGACCACCCACGGGCAGGATCCAGGCCTCCTTACCAAGAGGCTGGCTTCCAGAGGGACACCTGCGGTTGGCTCCAAGCCGGCCTGCAGGGGGAGGTGGTCTGCCCCAGGTGGAGAAAGGACAGGCCTGTCTCCTGGTGGGAGGCAACCCCTTGTTTCCAGGCTCCCTCCTGGTCCTGCCCTCCTGCTCCCCACCCCACCCTGGGTCACTGTCCTTTTAGCCTTGAAACCCAGGGGAGTATTATTACCTTCTTACTCAGCCTGTAGTTTCGTCTGGTCCCCGAGCCTGCGTCTGCATAAATAGACAGGTAACAGGTAGAACAGTGTCCGCCGTCAAGGGGCTGGGAAAACAGGAAAGGCTTATCGTCTGACCAGAAGCTGTTGGGCTCGCAGGGACTGGGGTCTGTGTGCCCAATGCCTGGATGCTCGGAGACCTTTCCGCGCGGTGGCCGTTGTTGGGTCGGGCCGCTGCCATTGTTGCCATTCATCAGTTTGGCCTTAGAGACTAGTCTTGGGGAGCAGGCGCTCTGTGAGCCCAAATAAAATCCGTCACCTGTCTCACGCGTGCAGCAGCCCAGCCATCCCTCCTTAGATTTCTCCAATAAGAGATTTTTTAAAGCAGTGCATCAAGAACAAAGGGACAGTGTGCTTGAAATTCTGCAACAACACGAGATTTTGTGGACTGTGCGTATGCACCCTTTTAAAAACAAGATAAGCCCCGACTGTGTGTCCCCGTGGGTCAGGCGTCATCCCACAAAGTGAAAGGTCAGGGGTTTGGCCCCGGGTCGGGGCGCCTGCCTGGGTTTCGGGCCAGGTCCTCCTTCTGCTGGGTGTGTTCGAGAGGCACTCAATAGGTGTTTCTCTCACACGTCAATGTTTCTCTTCCTCTCTGTCTTACTCCCTTCCCTGCTTTCCGAGAATAAATATATAAAATCTTTTTTT